TGAAGGATGTGGTTTCTATAAGGTTCGTATAAGCCTTAAAAAATCCAATTAAGGCTCACCGCCAAATTTTATCAACATATAATTTTATAATTTTGGTGTAAAGCATTTTTGGGATTATTTGCAAATCAAGGCTCACCTCCAAATTTTATCATCTTGGGATTATTTGAAAATTTATTTTCATATCTAATTATAAAATCTTAAACTCCAAAAAATGGTTAAAATCAAGTACATTTATGAACATATGAAAATCTTGAAAATGGATGGTGTAGATAATGCATTGTAAGATGTACTATTTATGGGATACAAATCTTTTTTATATATATATTCGTACACCTCGATATGCATTGCAAGATGTGCTATTTATGGGATGCAAATCTTTTATATATATATATTTGTACACCTCAATATCGAGATGATCAATTAAAAGGTTTTTCAATATTAAAATAACCTTTTACAGTGGATTTTTGAGGTGCATCATTAATTCTACATTTTAAGGTTACAACCTTATATAAACTTTTTCCATATATAAATTACATACTCCAATATTTACACATAAGCATATGCGCACACCTAGATCCGTGATCCCATGGACACCGTAAACCATAGTCCGAACAGTAGGAAATAATCTAAAAATACTGGAAAAAATCCCCAATTATATCCTAGTTAGTAGATCAGCACCAGAAATGAGCAAGTCTTGTGGTCAAGAGAGAGGAATATCTAAACCAGTCACTGTCCATAGTCAGATCTATCAAGAAAAATTAGGGAATAAGAAACCGCGGGTTTTTTCCAACTATAGGGAGGTGGAAAGTCACTAAACCATTTGATAGCTCGGATTAATGCGAGCGGTCTATGGTAGGGGTGGCAATGGACCCGACCAGACTTGGGACTCAAAGGTAGACCTAACATCGGTTCCGGTTATAGGTCAAAATTTTGGATCCGAAAGATCAATTCTGGGTCCAAAACTTGGACCCATGGGTAGGCCTGATCTCGGGTCTAGGCATGGGTCTAAATTTTGTGTCATAGCATATATAATGTAATTCTCATCAGTATGATAGATCTCAGTTTATCAATGCCCCGTAGATGTAGCCTTATGAGGTGATCTATATAAATCTGTCTTTGTTTTGTACGTCTTTTTATGGTTTAGTTTTCGTACTCATATTGTGGTTAGTACTCTTGCTGATTTTGTTTCTATCAAATTAAGCATATGATCCTAATGGGATCCAATTTTTAGGGTCGATCTTTTGGCATCTAAGAGGACAGTTGAAACCTAACGGATTATGCGTCCAAAACTCCATTGGTCTCTCATCTCAACCACCACAGATCACAAATATGAAAGAAATAAAGTTGAATTTTGAATATTAACAATTGTTCATCTTGTACTCTTCTTGTTGAATGGCATTTTAATTCTTTAAAGATTGTCTATTGTTTTCAAAGCTCTGAATTATGGATTTGAGGCAAAGCTGGATTTGCGGTGATTTGGAATTTGAGTTCTAAATCTCATGAAAACTAGGGTAGATGCACCAAAAAGTCTTTTTTTGAAGTGAGAATTTGGTCACCACGACTTTCACTAGACTTGATTTAGATTCAAGAAAAATAACGAGATTTCACAGATTTTGTAGACTGACTATTTGGGCAATTTTTTAGCCCCATTTTGAAAATTTACGATCTCTTCAAAATCGATGGTTGATGTTTGATGGAAATTGAACCCTTTTTTTCTTAATTCAATTATTTATATTTTTCTAACTTTCTTGGATTTTCTCTACCCTTTGTGGACTAGGGCAGGACTCAAGCGACTCCACTTCCAAGTAACCAAGCAAGATCAGGACGAGCTTTTGAATGTTCATAATGTAAGCTCTTCATGTCGAAACGTTGTTTTTTTTTTTTTTGATAATATTCATGTTGAAGCATTGTAAGATAGAAGTCAATTGGATATTCATCCAGCCATGGAATAGACCAAGCAAACATCAACATAATCTTCTTAAGAGTGAGTTAGAGTTTACACAAGAATTTCCCATTGCACAATCACATAGACAAAAGTGATGGAGATTTTTCAAGTTGGATAATGATCGTGGCAACGAGTGGATACTACTTTCGCTGAGATCAAGCACATTTAGGGCTTCCATGCATTCAAAGAAGACTAATTCAATTTCCTGTTTTCTTTGAATATCAATGTTGTGGGGGCTTGACATATTGGCTGATTCGGAAATCTCTCTATATCACTACTCATTAGCGATATGAGTCGAGCATCTCCCCATTCTTCATACATGTGTGCTTCTTTCAATCCCAATCCTGCTTCCACAAAAAAACTCCCACCGTCTTGAGCCGATGTGTACAGCAATATCCTAGATCATTTTGTGAAGCTTCACCCCACCATCATCTCTGGCAACTCTCTATCATGCACGAGTTGATCAACTTCTTAGACCGTGCCTTTGTTTCTAGCACACTCTAAACTATCAACTCCGTCTAGATCCCCCTCGCCTATCCAATACTCAACCAACTCATCTTTTTTAATTTCATGGTACTCTAAATAGAGCAATACAGGAAACATTGCCTAATGTTTCCATCTTCTGATTGTTCATAGCGATGGCCAGAATACTCGAGGCTCCGTGCCATATATCTCCATTGTTGAATGCCACAACGATCTTAGTGCATCCTTGATCTTTGTGCATCCTTCCACAAACACATTATCCTTCCCACTCATTCCACATTATTTGACAACATCTCATGCTATAGTGGGCAGGTCTACCACATTTCTTGTTTTCTCACCAAACAAATTCCATGCTTCCTCCTCTATTCAAACCTCCACATTAATTTCGTGGTCAGTGGCCATCTATTGTACAATCTTAACAATCGGGTGGTTATTAATTTCATGGTCAGTGGCCAGCTCATTATACACTCTTAACAATGGGTGGTTAATACAACCTTGAATCTGTTTTGTAGGTTTGGCTATCTAGCATTTAAATCCAGCTTTTCCTACTAGTCATCTAAGATGAGCATGAATCTTTGTTTGCTTAAACTAGTAAGCAATCTCCCTGCAATCTTCCCTTCATCATCGACAATTATGCCAATTCAATCACACCCAATTTACCATTATTCAAGCAGTTTAGGATGATTTCCTGTTGTGGAAGTTGTAGGCATCTCCATCCCCAATGGCGATCTTGATCCATCATTTTCTTAGGATGATTTCTATCAAAAGTTGATACACGTGTTGTGGCGATCTTGATCCAATCTTGATCCATCATTTTCTTAGGATGATTTCTATCAAAAGTTGATAGACGTGTTGTGGAAGTTGTAGGCATCTCCATCCCCAATGAGGATGATTTCTCTCCAAAGTTGAGAGACTTGATGTGGAAGTTGTAGACATCTTCATCCCCAAGGGAGATCTTGATCTATGCTCCCACTGACATCATTTTCTTCATTGATTTCAGAGGTGATTTGTCATTTTCTTCATTGATTTCAGACGTGATTTGTAATAGTTTATTTGTTGCATGTCTAACCGACCTACCCGACTTATTTTCTTCATTGATTTCAAAAGTGATTTGTAATAGTTTCTTTGTTGCATGTCTACCCGACCTACCTTACTTACTTAATTGGAGAAGCAATTTCAACAAAGCCCTCCAAAACAATACTTGTTCAGGTTTTCCAAATCTTTTGAACCAAACCTTAACTTTTGAACCACCCTTGCGCTTCACTCATAAAGCGTTGTCATCTTCCACCTTCTCATATTATAACGTTGCCATCTTCCACCTACTCGTATCTTAACGTTGCCATCTTCCACTTTCTCGTATTTTAGCGTTGCCATCTTCCACCTTCTCGTATCTTCCACTTTTTAGTAGGATTTGCCCTTCTTAAAGGCTTTTCCATCCTCCACCTTCTCGTGGGATTTGAAGAGATATCCAAGCAGCCGAGTTTAGGTGAAATGAGTTTTTTTTTAAAATCTTATCATGCTGAGATCTTTGAACTCTCGAGTTTCTAAGAAGTCGTTGTTGATCTTATGCATGATAGTTGTCTTCCCGATACGGCCCATGCCATGAATGCCAATCGCACCCAATTTATCATTACTCAAGCAGTCTAACAAAAGTTGACTGACATGTAGAAGTTGTAGACATCTCCATCCCCAATGGTAATCCTTGATCCACTCTCCAGTTGACTTCATTTTTTTCATGGATTTGAGAGGTGATTTGCAAGTTTCTTTGTTACACGTCTACCTGACTTGGTGAAGCACTTTTGATAGTATCTTGAAACTAATTCCTTTGCTTCATCTTGTGCTCTGTTGAACCACCCTTGCACTTCACTCATGGCATCGTTTCCATCTCTTTGTACTGCTTCAATATTTGCCTCCAAAATTGGAATTCAATGCTTGAATTGTTCATTCTCAATTTTTAGATCCTCCACCTTGTCGTGAGATTTCAAGAGAACAAAACCAAGGTGAACAAAAGTGAAGTTCTTTCTTTTGGCCAAGAGGAAGATGGAAGTAACTAAGGTGAACAGAAGGAAAGCTCCTTGTCTTAGCCAAAAATGAATCCGAGGTGAACAAAAGGAAGGCTCCTTGTTCTAGCCAAAAAGAAGATCAAGAAGACCAAGGTGAGCACTAAAAGTAAAAAAGACGATCAAGAAAAACCAAGGTGAGCACTAAAAGTAAGATAACGTAATGTTATTACATGAAGGAAAGGATATTACTTGCATACAAATGCGATAAAGAATAAGAATCAAAGTTGGTGGGTTGGAAATAGCTGTCTTATCATCCAAGCCCAAAAGAAAGAAAGGCGCATTTACAGCCATAATATTATATATGGTATAATGTTTCTATGACCAACTCACCTATTCAAATGAGTCATCTCTCTAAAATCTATTCTAAATATAAATTTTGGGTTCAAAATTTTGAGTAATAATAATCTCAACAATGATAAGTAGAAACTTGAAACCAATAAATTTTAAAAACAGAAAAATAAAAATTATTGACATAATTTTAACACCATTGATTTTAAAGCTTTTCGAAATTATCATTTTCCAACATCCATCTCCATGATGGAGATTACATGTTTCAGGGGAAACTATTGAAGAAATGCGTCCCCTGACACACAAAAACACTTTTCCATAATTATTTGATATTTCCACTCACAATCTGTGTTAATTTGTTATGTTAGCTAACTGAGCCCTAATCATGATTAGGATTAAAATTTGATCCCAATGAATCTATTACAATGAATTAAAAATATGGACGCCAACTAGACTGAAGTCTTTCTACATTGGGAAGCTTTATTTGGAGCCAACAGATTGGTATCATGATGCAAAGAGCTTGATGGATATCATATTATTTATATGTGGATACAAGGTTTCAGTGTCAAAAACACTGAAGACAAATAAAAATAAATGTGAAATGGTAAAGCTAAAGGAGAACCTTTGGACCACCTCCGTAGTGTGAATAAAGTAGAAGCTTAGCGGTCTCGTATTTGCTTGCCAGAGGCAAGGAATCTGCTTTACTAATCACTTTAGTTGATGATCGTTTTTTTTTTTTCTTCTGAAGTGATTCGACTTTAATTGATCGTAATTTGATGCCTTCCGAGTCAAGTGTCGTTCGGATCCTAGGTAAAAAATTTACGGGGTCATTTGGAACCACAATGAGTTTTTATTTGCTTTTTACCAGTGTTCAGAAAATCAACTCGATAGAACTTGTTACCTGCGTGTAAGACCTAACAACGGGTTTCATAGGAAGTGCCAATAGAATTTTTCGTAAAAAATTGGCGTATGTAAAATACAAAAATCATTTTCATATAATTTCTTGTAGAACTTCCCTGTAGGATTTTCTTTCTTTTATATGAAATCCGTTTCTTTGGCCAAAGTTGGATGATTTTTTTCTCCGTGCAAGCTGCTAGGGGTGGCAACAGTTCGGGTATGGGTCCTGACCCAGACCGGACGGGTCCAATTTGAACGTACCCGTAGCCAGACTCATACCTGAAATTATTCTTTCTTTTTTTTGAAGAATTGAAGCATTACAGTTGAATACAACCATTAACCCTAATTCATGAAGCTTATGAATCAAGCAGGCAACCTTTATTTTCTCTTTAACCATCAAATTGAGCTATGAAGGCCCACTTACTAGTACAATCCAGAAAAATTCAAAATAAAATTCTTTTCATAGAATTACCTGAAATGCAATTGAAGCTGGCTTTCTGGGTCAAATATATCTGCATATTCAGCCATTCGTTGCCTCTTTTCTCCCATTAAAACATCTTTCTTTAGAATCCACTGTATTGATGAAGCTTGACATTCCTGGAAGCACAAGAATATAAACCCTAATCCCCAAACCCCTAGTAATTATGATCCTAAAGCTTCAAACCCTAACTTATGAGCTCTGGTACTTAATATCTAGAAAAAGAAAACAAATTTCGAAAGCTCCAGGAACCAATTCCTAAGAGTATGATATCGAAAAACTTTGGGGCTCCAAAAATCGGAACGGATACTGCTAGACGATGCAGAGAATGGAGGCACAGAGGCAGTTGCAGAGCAGAGGGATAATGGCGATTTGGGTAGGGAGACTGAGAGAGGGAGAGAGGTCAAAGTCGAATAGAGAGAGGGAGAGTTCAAGAGAGAAAGAGGTAGAGAGCTAAAAGTCTGAGAGAGGCGGTGGCCGAGTAGAGATGTCACGACGATTTGGGGACTTCGGCCCTTTGGGTAAGGGTTGGGTTTTTAAAATTGGAAAAAGTTATTGAATGTTAACCGTTCAGATCGAATCTCGCCCGATCTGACGGTTACAGTTGTAAGTGTTTAAATTTTAATTTTTTTTTCTACAAATTCAAATCGTTTTTTAAATATGGTTTCCATCGAGGGCACCTAAAACAAATATAAAAAAAATAATTTGTAACACTAACCAAAATACCTCTAAAACTTTTCGAGGGTATTTTGATCAATTTTTTCGTATAAAATATTTTTTGGATATTTATCGTAGATTCGCTTATTTTTTAAGAACACACATCTAAAATTTCAAGTGATTTTGATTTGTAAAAAAAAATTAAAATTCAAACACTATCGGACATTCGTAATTATTAGATCGGCCCAGATTCGATTTAGGCCTTGAACGTTTACTGTAGCGGTACATGAATCGGCGTAAAGTAGTAACAGTTATATTTTAGTTAAGGAAAAAGTTCATACAAGGTCGCAACCTAAAATGTAGAATCAAAGATGCACCTCAAAAATCTATTGAAAAATGTTGTTTTAATGTTGAAAAACCCTCTAATTAATCATCTTGATATATATATATATAGAAAAAGTTCATACAAGGTCGCAACCTAAAATGTAGAATCAAAGATGCACCTCAAAAATCTATTGAAAAATGTTGTTTTAATGTTGAAAAACCCTCTAATTAATCATCTTGATATATATATATATATATATAAATATATATATAAAGATTTTGAATTCCAGAAATAGTGCATCTTACAACACATTATCTAGACCGTCTATTTGAATTTGACCCGTTTTTGAGTTTATAAATTTATATCTAGATATGAAAATAGATTTTCAAATATTCTTAAAAATTTTTTACACCAAAATTCCATATTATAATAAAATTTGGAGGTAGGGCTTAATTTGATTTCTTAAAGTCGCAACCTTATAGAAACCACATATTTTAGTTAAGGAAAAAGTTTATATAAGGTTGCAACCTTCAAATGTAGAATTATAGATGTACCTCAAAAATCCATCGAAAAAGGTTATTTTAATGTTGAAAAACCCTCTAATTGATCATCTCGATGTCAAGATATATGAATTTGAAAAAAAAAAAGATTTTGCATCTCAAATATAGTGCATCTTGCAACACATTATCTAGACCGTCCATTTTCAAGATTTTTATATGTTTATAGATCTGTTTAATTTTAACCATTTTTGGATTTTAAAATTTTCTAGTAAGACTTGAAAATAGATTTTGAGATAATCTTAATAATTTTGTACACCAATATTACATGTTATGATAAATTTGGAGGTGCACTATAATTGGATTGTTTAAGGTTGCAATCTTAGAGAAACCACACCCTTTAGTTAATAAGTTAATTATAGTTAGGTTATTTTAGGTAGTTAATCATATTTTTAAAAAATAAATAATATTTTAAAATTTTAAAATAATGCTTAAACACTATTTAGTATTTACTTAATAATTTAATATACTAAATATATTATATATAACTAAAACAATCACTTATTTAAAATGGATTTGGGCCGGGTATGAGATGGGTCCACCAATACTCGTACCCTCTGAAATACCTAGTAGCACATGTACCCTATCTTTGGGTCCAAATTTGGACCCATACTCGGACCATGTACAGGTGTACCTGGGTCTTCTGGGTCTATTGCCAGCCCTACAAGCTGTAGGTCCCGATAACATGGTGTTGGGATTTTCTCTCCATGGAATTGTTCGTTAAAAATATGGATCGCAATTGTTCATTATTATATTTGTGAGGATCTGATTTCTAAAGAAAGGATTAAGAATATCTAATTTAATTAAGAAAAAAGTTTATATAAGTGCAAGGCTCTAAACAATGGTGCACGTCAAAAATTTCACTAGAAGAAGTTATTTTGATGCCTAAATATCTTCAAATTGATCGTCTGACTTCAAGATGCAAGTTGAAATAGTGTATCTCATAATGTATATTTGGATTGTCAATTTTCAATATTTTTAAATTTTCATTGATCTGTTTGATCTACACTATTTTTGAAACATTAAATTTTTATAATTAGAGATAAAAATATATTTTAAAACTATCACAAACATTTCTAATATTAAAACTATATTTCTCAACACTATTTGAAGGTGTACTTTACTTTGATTGTTTAGAGCCTCGGTTCTCTACAAACCACATCCTTTAACTAATGCCAAAGATATTCTACTCCCTCCGGGTAAAAACTAACCTAGGATTAGTTTTATGACCCAAAATTTTGATAATATAACCTCTTTAATGCATATATGTATATATATAAATCTCAATAAATTTTTTTTCTTAATTACCCCTTTTAAAAGTAATACCTCAACATTGAACAGAAACGGTGGTAAGGTATAATTATTAGCCCAAATTTGAAGTTTTCTTTTTGGTATGGCATCCTCGCAAAGTAGATCATCTCGAGAAGGAATAGAAACAAACCATGTTCCTGAGGGAGCATAGTGTTCGTGCACCTATCTAATTTCTATCCATTCGCACCCTCCGTTTTTCACGTATTCTTTGAGTAGGCCTCGTGAGGGCAAAGAGAAAGGGTTCACGTGAAGTTTTAAAGGCTAAAGACTCCCAATATTCAGTAACTTGACACTTGCAAAGCGAATGTGTGGTGCGGAGAGTAGAGTGACCACTCAACCATGGGGAAATCCTAGGTTTTCGAGATTGTTTGGGATGCCACGGGCGGGCAAGACCTGGCCCTAGCTCGGCCCAAAATATTCTACGCTTGGGAATTGGTTTTGGGTGGGCCATGGCCTAACCCGAACGTAAAAGAATGCGACATGAGCCCCTCAATTTATATCTTCATCATCTGAGTCTTATTCCAACTATCTAAGATTGACTACACAAATTCTATTTCGACACTCCATTCTATATCAAGGGAAAATTAATAGTGTTATAACAAAATGGTACAAATATAGACCATTATTGCTCCGGAAGGACGGAAGCTCCGAATTTTTTTAGTTTTTTGTCAAGTTTACTCGTGGTCCTATTTTTGAAACCTCAGACCGTGTTTTTTTTTTTTGAAACTTTTCATTTTTTTTGGCAAGTTTGCCCTAGGACTGATTTTTGAAACCTCGAACCGCTTGGTTACGTTTCAAAGCGGTCCGATGCTTTCAAAATTGGACCATATTTTCAATTAAAAAAAAAGAATAATGAACGGTCCGATATTTTTAAAATCAGACCGTAGTTTCAATAACTAAAGAAAACAATTAGTGATCCGACGTTTTTAACATCGAACCGTATTTTTAATTAAAAAAAAGAACAGTTAACAGTCCGAAATTAGAAACATGGGACTGTATTTTCAAACAAAACTTCAGTTGCCTCCAACTATTGAGGGGAAATGGTAGGAGCCATCGCTAAAAACATCGGACCGTATTTTCAAACTAAACTTCTGTTGCCTCCAGCTATTGATGGGAAATGGTTTTAAATGTACATAAAAATATTGGGGGTTCTATTAACAGTTTTAGAAAGTTACCTTCAAATTTGGCAGAAATAGAACAGGTGGCAAGTAGCAAACATTCACACAATTTTCTGAGCTAGTTCTAATGGCATTTATACAATGTGAGCGCCTCTTTTGATTCATAAAAATAACAAGAAAGTTGTGAACTAGAACAATGGTGAAACTCGAAAGAATTTTCTAATGGGGTATGAACTGTTGGTATTTTTCTTTTGCCAATGAGTGTATATGAGGTGATCATTTGAGACTTTTTTTTTACACACGGTCCAGATGCCATAATCATGGTCAGGAGATATTTTAGATCTATAAATTTCCGCATCATCTTTGATTCACCGTATTTTTAAAATACGGTCTGATGGCTAAGAGTTTTTTTTTATTTTTTAATTTTAATTTTATTGAAAATATGGTCAGATTTTGAAAACACTGGGCCACTTCGAAATTTTTTCAAGTGATTCAAGGTTTAAAAAATCAAACTAGGGGCAAACTTGCCAAAAAAATGAAAACTTTTGAAAAATAAACAATTCCAGGTTTCAAAAGTAGGACGGGGTAAATTTCGTTAGAAAAAAAAAAAAATCAAGATTCCCATCCTTCTAGGCAATAACGACCTATTTTCGGGCCATTTCGTTATCACAGTATTAAAAACCAGTCCATATGTAAAATTCCATTCTATTGAAGGTCATATATATTTAGTCAACAATAAAACCTAACATGAGAATATAGTGTTGGATTAGGATTCATGATAAGGATGCGGCTAAAGTTTTTCACTTAACTACCAACCTAACATAACTCTCCTCCTTTCTCACTCAAGCTTGTCACCGGCAATGGTGAAGTTACCAGCCCCTCAATTTACCTTACCTGAAAATAACTACAACCAAAATATCATAACCACCTTTTGACTTTGATGATTATCCATTCTCCGATAAAACATGAAGGAACTTTGTAGATGAATTTCCAGTGACTGATGCTGTTAATGTATCATAAAATCGAAAAAACATGGAGGAACTTTGTAGATGAATTTCCAATGACTGATGTTGTTAATTTATCATCAAATCGAAAGAGAAACTAAAATCAATGGCTTCGTTCTCCTAATTACATATTGTTGTTACAACAACTGTAATTTCTATACCTTTTATGTAAGTGTGGCTTTTGATCCAAAGCCATGGTCAATCTATAATGCGTTTTAGGAACCATGATAAAATAAAATTTGAAAAGTTAGACTTGATGTTTATTTGGAAAAAAATAAAATTTTAAAAGTTCAGGTATTCTAAAAAAGAATTCTTTAAAATCTATGAGGTCCAAGGTTAAAGGAAAACTTACCCAATTCAAGGGTAGAATACCCCAAATTCTGCATTCCATAGTTAGCAAAGTGGAAGAATACCAATATATTGGTAAATCAAAATATTGGTAATAAAGTGATTTTGTTCTAGGAAAGTTGAAGAAAAAAAAAGCAGGTTAGACATAGCATGACTAGAAGAAGGAGATGTTATCGAAT